TGGGATCGAGCCCCGCATTGGGCTCTCTGCTCAGTGGCGAGTCTGCTTCTCCCTCTCCCTCCCTCTCTCTGATCTCTCTGGCTCTCTCTCTCTCTCTCTTAAATAAAGAAATAAAATCTTGGGGCACCTGGGTGGCTCAGTCGGTTAATCATCTGCTTTTGGCTCAGGTCATGATCCCAGGGTCCTGGGATCGAGCCCCGCAAGGGGCTCCCTGCTCGGCAGGGAGTCTGCTTCTCCTTCTCCCTCTGCCTGCTGCTCCCCCTGCTTGTGCGCTCTCTCTCTCTCTGTCAAATAAATAAAATCTTAAAAAAAAAAAAATCTTTTTTTTTTAAATTTTATTATGTTAGTCACCAAAAAAAAAAATCTTTAAAAGAAAAATCCTTTACTCCTTTTTAAATTGGGTTGTCTTTTTATTGTTAAGTCATAAGGATTCTTATATTCTGGATACAAGTCCTTTATCAATACATGATTTGCAGATATTTTATTCCATTCCATTGGGTTTTTTTTTTTTTTCATTTTCTTGATGGTATTCTTTTTTTTTTTTTTAAAGATTTTATTTATTTATTTGACAGAGATAGAGCAGGAACACAAGCAGGGGGGAGTGGGAGAGGGAGAAGCAGGCTTCCCGCCAAGCAGGGAGCCCGATGCGGGGCTCGATCCCAGGACCCTGGGATCACGACCTGAGCCGAAGGCAGACGCCTAACAACTGAGTCACCCAGGCGCCCCTTGATGGTATTCTTTGAAAGACAAACATTTTTAATTTTGATGTCCTGTTTAAGAAACTGTACTTTTTGTGCTATTGATGTCCTGTTTAAGAAACTGTTGCCTAATACAAAGTCATAAGATTTACTACTTTGTGTTCTTATAAGAGTTTTATAGTTCTAGCTTTTACATTTAGGTCTTGATCCATTTTGAGTTAGTTTTTGTTTATGATGTGAGATAAGGGTCCGTATTCTCTTTGGCATGTAGATATCCAGTTGTCCTAGCATCATTTCTTGAAAAGACTGTTCTTTCCATTGAATGTATTAGCACCCTTGTTAAAAATCACTTGACCAGGGGCACCTGGGTGGCTCAGTCGGTCTATTGATCCACTCTTGGTTTAGGCTCAGGTCATGATCTCCAGGTGATGCAATCGAGCCCCATGTCCAGCTCTGAGCTTGGTGGAGAGTCTGCTTGGGTTCTCTCTCCTTTTGCCCTTCCCCTTCTTCCTCTGCTCTCTCTCTCTAAAATAAATAAATTGTTAAAAAATCACTTGACCATAAATGTAAAGGTTGATTCTCCATTCTATTTCATTGGTCATCATTGATTTTTATTTTGTTATTTTTTTAATTTTAATTTTAATTCCAGTATAGTTAACCTACAGTGTTATATTAGTTTCAGGTGTACAATATAGTGATTCAACAATTCTGTGTATTACTCAGTGCTCACCCATTCCCCCACCTACCTCCTCTCTGGTAACCATCGGTTCTCTATAGTTAAGAGCCTGTTTTGCGATCATCATCATTGACTTTTAAGAAGAAAAACAATTCAGTCATGTTTGCTTGCTGCCCCTTCTGCTGCCACACTAATCTGGGCCTTCTCTGATCTGTACTTATTCATTGTTCAGCCTTTTTTGAGTAGAGCTGCTAGGTGAATACTTCCAAAGCAGTGCTTTTATCTTATTGTTGCTGGTAAAGAGTAGCCATTGGCTTCCTACCGAGGTTACATGGGAACAAAACTTTGCCTGCTTTTTGAGGTCCCTGAGCCAGCCCTACCCAGGGCTCCATACTTAATTCTCTCCATTTCTAAATTCAAATCCTCTTCTGGTCAGTCCTATTTCTTTTAGTCAAGTCATCACCTCCTCATTCATACCTTATGCCTTGATTCTCCACATTCAGTTCCCTTCCCAGTTTATATTTTAACACTTTCTCAGCATAATTAGAGGCTTTAATAAGTTGAGGTACAATGATCTCTTTCACATATGGTTTCTTAGAAGAATCACTTCTGTGTCATTCATGTGGCCACTTAATGCATGACCCATTTCTGGTTTTTCCTGCATCTCTTACATTCAGGGTCCTGTACTGGCTGCTGCCTTCAGTTATATAACTATTTTATTTAAATGTAGCTTTTCTTCCTACACATTCTGTATGAACTCTTAAAATGTGTAGGGACCATTTTAGAATCCCTTCAAGGGCTGAATATGAATTTATTTTTAGTATATAAGGGTCTTGAATCTTTTAATCAAAACCTTTGGGGGCCAGATGTATTTGACTTTTTTAAAAAAAGATTCTAGAAAGGTTTAAGCTGTATATACCTTGTTATTTAACCCAGTAGCACTCTGGGATAGCACTCTTTAATGACCTATATTAAAATATTTACTGTTACACATATTCTCCAGTGGGATGTGGGGCAGGATCCTATGTTTAGAGATTGCTTTTTCTGTAGCAAGAAGTGAGTATTCACACTGAAATGTAATAGACTATAAATAGTATCATATCAGCTCAGGTCAGGTGTGATTTTGCTGCCAGTTGAGTTACAGTGAAACAGTTTGATTAGAGTTTTGGGTTTCAGAATTGTAATAGATTGAGGAGCTTCACCGATTCTAAGTGTATGGTGTAATTGTAGAGCTGGAAAATTCTGTCTCTTATGTACACTGCCCTGGGCGGGTCTAGACTTGCCTCCTGTGGCTCTTAGCTGTAGCGTCTTCCTCCCACCCATTTGTTCTCTAACCACTTTGCTCACATCACTCCTCTGTCCCCACATTTCTGGTGTTTTTACCATTTATTATCCCCCATGTGCGTGTGAGAAGCAGCTATATATGATTGCAGAAGGGATGTGATAGTTATTTCGTGTTGAGCTTGGGAAGCAGTCATTTTTCTTTTTTCTGCACTACTTTCTTTGCAGGGAGTACTGTGGGGGAATCAGTGATGTGGAGGGGGCCCCATGGAGGTGGCATACAGCCATCTGGATGGACTCCTGATGAGGCGTCCAGGTCTTGGCCTGGAAGAAGTTAAGCAATCTTGGCCTGCAGAGAGGTTGCAGACTCATTGAAGGCCTTCTATAATCTGGCTCCAATCTAACTTGTCAGACTAATGAGTCACCATTCCTCAGATTTATATTTTATATTTTTTATTAGATTAAAATGTTCTCTCTGTGTAAACTTGCCTAGTGAGCATCCCATGAATAACTTATAAATGCTGTTCTGGCTTATGCATTTTCCTCAACATTTCACTTAATATGTAACATATATTTAATGTAATGTAATGTATTTAATTTTACAATATCCCAGTGGTAGACCTGGCGATGTTCTGAAACTGGAATTGGATAGCACTTGTCTAGAGGCCCATAGTTTTTGTTTTGTTTTGTTTTGTGTTTTAAAACAACTACCAGTTTTTCATGTGCTGGTGAAATTGCCAAAGTGAAGCCAACATTAGATATGCCATATTTATGTTGAGACACATGTGGTAAGAACCAGGAATCCTAGAATGTTGGAGCTGAAAGGAACATTGTTAGTATAATGTTTTATAGATCAGGAAACTCCAATCAGCTACAGCTACACAGCTTGATAGTGAGTAGTAGAACCAGAATTCTATTTTTCTTGAAAATTTTCACCCTGTTATCTGGGGTTAGAGCTAAAATTCTCATTTGACCCCCCCCCCCAAGTAAATATAATACTCTTTCTGGATTTGGAAAACTTTTGTCTACCTGGTTTCAACCCACAGGAGTGAAAAAAATCGTTTTGCTTCTTGGTGCCAACTTGGTAAAACTATTATTTCACAGAATGTGCCTAATTAATCAAATGATTAGAAAATGGACTCTGATTAGAGAATGGATAGCTGCTTTTATGCTCCTTAATTAACTAACAACCAATTTAAATTGTGCTTTTGGTGTTTAAAGCTCAGGAAGGCAGTATTCTGTTTCCCTATATGTATCTCTGACTTGAAGAGAAGGTTCGACCACACCATGTAGAACTGACGGTGTTAAGTGCCATACTTTTTCTGTTAAACTGCTGTGTATTGAATAGGAGCAATGCCGATTAGAGAAAATGATAAACAAAAAAACAAATGCCAGTTTGAATTTATGAAATTAGAAATTAGGCGTCCCGTTGGAGATTCTTAATTATTGGAGGAAAAAAAACCCAGGGAATTAATGGATCATCATTAAACTCAAAGTTTAATGAGCTTCGGTTCTTTTGTGGTGAATGGAGTGCTTTAAATTTTCATGAAACAGGTTTTGTTCAGGAAAATAGTCACCCAATGGCATAAGCATTTATAGTTCTCTAAAAATCATGCCTGTCTCTCCTCACTGAGTAAGAGCTGGTTAGGGAATCTTTGTCCCCCACCGTTTTAAGTGTTCTGCCCATTAGGTTCCACCCATGGCAGAGTGTTAAGCCATATGCTGTCTCAGTTGTATGTCAGAGTTTCCCATGCTCTTCTGTCATGATACATTTTCGGTTTTGAGTATGAATCTAATTTAGGTTCTGTGTTCCTTTGTTGTGAATGACCCTGAAAAAATCACTTCATTATCCTGGGACTCAGGTATGAAGAGACTGAATTGTGAAAATCTCTTCATTGTCCAAGATAATACAGTTTAGCTGAGTACTTTTTTTAATGGGATATTTTTAATTTGATGTAGCAAGAAGTAACAATACTTATAACCAAAAAAGAAAGAAAGACAAAAACCAAATTACTTTTAACAACAAAATCATCTCTTTGGCTTAGGTTTCTGGACCTGACAGTTAAGTATTTATGGAGGTTGTGAGGGGACAGGGAGAATCTAGGGTAGATTTGTTTAGTGCTGCCATTTATTTTCACTTTTGTATGCTCTTTAACCTTTTAGGAGAGTATTTCTATGTTTATTTTACAGAAGAAAACTGAATCTCATACTGCCTAGCCCTAGACTGGAAACTGGGGTCTTGAACTGTCCTGAGCTCCTTAGACTATTGTCTATATAGTTTGGTTTGGTATCAGATGGCACAGAACTTGGTATCCAGTGTAACTCTTCCTGTTCTATTCTTTCAGCTTGGATTTACTTTTGGCAACGTGGTTGGAATGTATCTGGCTCAGAACTATGACGTAAGTGGCCATATCCATATCCACCCCGATTCCATGTCACAAATTTGTAGTGATTTGTCTTTGTTAAAGTCAGGTACGCCTTCCAGCATAAATGAAATCCATAGATCTGAGGAAAATGTCCTGAATTTTGTAGAAAGATTTTCCATTGTTTGAAAAATACATCTCACAGAAGCATCTGTCCTCCATTATCACCACAAGAGGGCAAAATCCCATCAATTTAAGATGGTCTTGTGATCCTGAACTATGTTTGTTAGCCCAGAGTAATTAATTACTAAGTTGGAGTCTTCTTACAGTTCTATGGAAAATTATGTGATAAGTGGGAATTTAAAGACTAATTGGTAGCGTACTACCCGCTACGTGGTAGTAATGACTGAGAATTTTAGTGATGGATCTTTATAATGCAGCTCAGTTAAGGAGGTCAGAGTTTTGTGAAGTGAGGAGTTATATTAGCCTCATTTTATAGATGGGAAGTTGAAAACCAGGTGACAAAACTGTAAAGAGATGGAAAGGAAGGGGAAGGGGTGGGAAGAGGGAAGGAAGGGAAACATGATATTAACTTTTGATTTGTTTGTGGTGAAGCTTTTAATGTGACAAAAGAAATTCTTTATCAACCTTCACTTGACTTATATGGTTTTCTAGGGAGGAGCTTTATTAATTTATATCACCTTTATTGTTTATATGTACAGCTTCTACTTGGCACTGGATTGAGGTGCTAAGTGAGTATATAAAAGGAGAAGTCAGAATCTGGCTTTCAGGGAGGGAGCATACGTTACTTTCCAACTGCTGAGATCCTTCTTATGCAGTTAGGAGGCTAAGAAATTCTATTTAGCAGGTCACTTTCAGAGAAAAATAAAGACTTGTACAACAACCCTTTATTGTTGGAGGAAGAGAAGTAAAAGATTATTGATTAGGTTGATGCAAAATTACAATAATCTTTTTTCTCTTTAAAGATACCAAACCTGGCTAAAAAACTAGAAGAAATTAAAAAGGACTTGGATGCCAAGAAGAAACCCCCTAGTTCATGAGGCGGACTCCAGCACTGCCTTCTGGATGTATGGATTCTGCTGTTCTTGAGGGCCTCCTTACCATCTGAACCAAAAGCTTTTGTTTTAAATTCCAGCCTCAGCAATTTTCCTGTTAGATTCTGCATTGCCTGAGAGCACAGATGGGGCCACAAGTTAAGAACCACCCTTTTCCAACTTCCTCACCTCGTCCCTTCCTCCTTCCAGCCACTTGAGACAGCCTAAGACTGGAATTATGGTGCTAGATTAGTAAATGTGACCTTTAATTTGTAGTCTCTCCTTTATTCTTGGAATTTCTACTCTTTTCTAAAGAAAAATTGATGAGTTTTGTATAGCTGATCAGACATAAATAATGCTGATTACACAGCTTAGTGATTATAATGGGGTTTAAACATTTGGTACTAAATTATGTTGTTTTAAAGTCATTAAAATTAAAGCCCAGAAGCCAGTTACTCCGGAATTATCCGCTTATTATATACTGTTGTCAGACAGCTCCGTAAGTGCTAATTTAATCAGTAAATCAATTTACTACTCATTAACTGAGAAACTATATTCTGAGAACCCTGTCAGGAACTAGGGAGTTAGTTTAAAAATGTAAAATAATGGCCCTTATCCTCCGTAGAATTCATAGTCTAGTATGCATGTTTTTCCTTAATCGTGTCTTTGATTTGGCTCCTTTCCCTCAAAAGAATCCTACTTATCTTAGGGGATTACAGGTGCATTTGACGTTACATGATGGATAAATGACAAGTTGTAAAGGAAATTTTATGCCTCTTGACATTAAAAATGTATTTACATTATACCTTTATAGCGATTCTCATGAGAAACTTTGAGGATTTTTTTTTTTTCCCCTGCAATCAGAAATCACCATTGTATGTTGACCCATAGGTAGGGACATCTCTAAGTCCCTCATTTAGCAGGAAGAAGCTATGATGAGACCTCCACCCAATTGCCAAAGATTTGTCATTGTTGATCTGTCGAGGTGGAACAGAGAGGCCACTTTTAGGCCACAGGCTTGAGCAATAGAAACCTGAGCAAGGCAAAAGGGCCCACAGTGACCATCGAGCTGATGCATACAGGCTCATTAAGCCATAGGCCCTAACCGACCAATGGGCTACTTAAAACCAGTCACGGTCCCTGAGATTGCCAAAAAGGGAGAATTCCGTAGCCCCTTACTTCTCCCTATAACTGTGGCCCCTCATCACCACCTCTTGGCAGTCTCTCCTTTGCTGTCCTGCCCGTTGCCCCCTTGCAGTGTATTCAGTAAACTTCTGTTACTTTAAGACAGGAGAGAAAGAGAAAGATCACATTGTAATTTGTCAAATATATAATTAGTCCATTTTTAAAAAATTAAATGTTTATATACATCACTTGTACCCTGGGTGAGGATACAAAACTGATTCAGAGCAAAGGCCCTCTCATACTCCTGTCCTTCAGCTCCAAGTTCCTCTTCCTGGAGGCAGGCACTATCAACAGTCTCCTGTATACTCTGAGAAGGATTCTCTGCCTAAACAAATACATGTGTGTGTGTGGGGGGGTTACACAAATCATAAACTGTATTGAGTTCACCCTTCGCCCCCCTCCCCCCTCTTTTATTCCCCCTTAATGGAGATCATTCCATATCAGTATGTAAGGAACAAGAAACCTCTTTCCCTTTTTTGGCTACATGAGATTCTATTGAATGGATATACCATAACGCATTTAATCTGTTACTGATGAACGTTAGGTTTCCTGTCTTTTGCTGTTACAGTGATAACTTTGAACCTAAAGTTACTGTACATATCTGTGCAGGGTATAGCTATAAACTAAACCCTAACAGTGTAATTTGCACTAACTCTAGATAAAGTCCTGTTTGATTGTGTGTTTTGTTTTAGGGACTTGTCAGGCAGCTCACTGATAATGCCATTTCTGAAGACATTTTAGCAGAATCCATAAACTGAAAGGAGGAATTTAGAGACGCCTTTTTTTCAGACAGTGATGACATTGGTACTGTGTGATTCCAAAACAAAGGGGTTCTGCTTCTCTTTGGAAACGGATCTCTCATTCATGGGTATAGGTTTTCTCTCTGGCAGCCTGTCCTGCTGTGTGATACAGATTAGCAGCATATGATGCTTTGGCTTTACCCTAGAAGTGAGATCCTGGGCAAGGGGCTTATTTTTTGACACTGTTGTATTCTCTAAGATGTGGACGCAGTATCTACCTCACACGGCTCACATGAGAAACCGTTGAGATTATGTGTGTGATGTGTTGCACAGTGCTTTGCAAATTGCCCAATAAATAATAGAGATTGGTCCAAACATGCTGCTTTTGGTCAGAATACTTTATTTTTCTGCAGTCATTTTTTTGGAACCAGTTTATGAGCCATGCAAAATTTGTCATTCTGTGGTCACTCTCTTGGTTGCTGATGAAAATCTAGAGTATCTACCTTGATCATACCTCCTGGTTCACAAGATTTGATCTTGAATAACTGAATTGTTAGCAGAATGAACCACAGCCTTAAAGGATAAAGGTTTACCACCTTTGAGGGTATTCAAAATGCTACAGGTTTAGAAAGGGGCTTCCAAAGTGTGATTCCTTGTCACAGATATGGTAGCATGATTGCTCGTGTGTCGTTTCCAGAGTGGCTTTTTAGGGATAAAGTTAATTTAGATAGTAGGAGATTAAGTATCTCTATATTATGTCTAACCTCATTTGGATATAGGGCTTCCTCAGGAATGACTGACTCTTCCCTTTGCTAATAGGCTCATTTCTACCAGTGGGAACCATCCAGCAACTCCATTCTTGCGTTCACCTTCATGTGAACTGCAACACAGTGAGAACAGGTTGCCTCAGTGGTCACTCTTCAGGTACCCTCTTCTAGTTTTAGGTTCTTACAGCAGCGAAACGGGGCTCAGAGTTCTCAGGTGAGATTATCCTCCCTGAGATAGAGGAGGAGCTGAGAACCATCACAGATTTTAGGGTGTGGTTGAAACTTTGTAATGTGCGTGAGGGTTGCAGTGAGTGTGATTGTGGCACTAAGAGTTGCGTTCCCTGGGTGTTTTGTAGGGACTTTTGCCTCACAAACCATCAGAGGGATGGGAAGAATCACAAGACATACTCTTCTCCTTTTAAAATTGTTTGAAAACTCCTGTTGATGTGATTTAAGAAAACTTTTGGCCATACCTGATCATAAAAGGAAGGTTACCAACTGTACAGAATAGGACTTTAGGATTGATGTTGGGAACTTCATAAACACAATGAACTTGAAAAGTTTATCCTTAAACCATCATCCTCCCAAACAAAGGGAGAGAAAAACCCAAACAACTGTATTTAAAATCATCAAAAGGGGCTATATTTTAGGACTTGAAGTTACCAATTGATGCCTTTAGACATTTCTTTTGATTTGGTGTTTTATGCAATTAAGCAGTGACCTCCTGATTTAAAGGAACAGTTTCATTTTTTCTAACCCATTTATTCAGTTTTCATTTGTAGGACTGCAGAGAAAGTGCAATGTGTGGTTTTTCTAGTTGTCTGTGCATACAGGTTCGTAGAGCATATGTACACACACATAATGTTTTCATTTCCACTACGCAGTTCACTCCCTAGATACTCTGCCGGTGTTTGTTTTTCTGCTGAGGTCTCTTGCCTTTTTAGTACTTCTTCTGGTATTCTCCCGGAAGGAACACCACAGACTGTACTGGATGGAGTCCCATCTTGGACTCTGCACATAGCATTTCCATTCCTTACTCATGAATGAGTTCTTTTTTCCCTAGTGACTGTTAGGGCCTTGTGGAAGGCAACAGGGTGGTGAAGGGAACATATTTTGAGATCTTGCCTGGTCTTAATAGGGGAGTTTGTGACACTTAGATTTTCATGTTTAGTCTATACCTTTTCTAAATCTCCGTGCATCATTATTTAGTCAAGTACATTTTTTTTGCAAGGCACTGGGAAATGACAGAACAGTGGGGTTTTATGGAAAGTGAACAGGGTGGGGCATTGCAAAGCCTGAGTCGTGGTCTGCTTGGATCATTGCCCAAGTGGCAAAGCCTTATGAAAAGGGCAGTGTGGTTGCATCATTCCTGCATGTACAGCTGTACAGCATCGGGACAAGAAAGAGTCACCATGTAAATGGCCGGGCAGTCGTGCTTGGAATTCGTTTAGTGAGGGCAGCCGCAGGATGGGTTACCTGTGTACTAGGGTTTTCTCTGGCCTTTGTGTGCCAGTGGTTTGAACATCTTGCTATACTGAGAGTTATTCTAATGTTTAGATGTACTTTTTCTTTTCTTCTCTCTCTTTTTTTTAAAGATTTTATTTGAGACAGAGAGCATGAGCGGGAGGTAGGGGCAGAGGGAGAGGAAGGGCAGACTCCTTACTGAGCAGGGAGCCTGATGCAGGGCTTGGTCCCAGGACCCTGGGGTCATGACCTGAGCCGAAGGCAGACGTTCAACTGACCGAGCCACCCAGGTGCCCCCAGATGTATTTTTCAAACATGGTCCCTAAGTGTGAAGCCAACTGCATTATTTGGTATTCAACTGAAGAAACAGATTTATTCTGACATTTCTGAGGGAAAACTAGCTATCTTTTATTTACTAAAAGATGGTTCATGAGTCTTTGCCATGTAAATCCTAATATAAAAGATTGTACCATGTACTTCATGGGTGACTTAAAGGAATGTCAAAGGCAATTTTCATAGGCAATTAAGTTTGATATGTAATTGACTTGAAAATAAGGTGCAACTAAACTTAATGTCTTCGTTTCTCAGTCATCTATAAAATGAGCTGGTATAAGATGATCATTACTGCTTTCCATCCATATAGTGTTGTGATATTAGAAGATAAAAATCAAATTAGAATATATTTGCAAGAAACCTAAGACTACTAATACTAAGGTGAGCCCTTACTTGCTGTCCACCAGTGGAGTGATTTTAGATGACAGGAGTTGCTGGTCATCGCTGCCATTTTCTGTCACTGGAAGGAGCCGGCTTGGTTAGCCTGCCCTCTGGCTTTGGGAAGGAAGAGTGCTGCTCTTGGGAAGAGTCGGTGGAGCCGTCGGAAGTAAATGCTCTTTCTAAGCTGAGTGCACTAGCCCTTCGGAGCATCTGGCTGCAGCCGCGGAGGGGAGTTGCACTGCTTCCCTTTAGGACTGAGTGAGGTTCTCGAATGCGGAGCAGTGGCCAGGAATTCTGAGTCCGCTTAATTCTAAGTCACCTCTTCTTTCTCTTTTTACTTATCTATACTCCCGGAATCTTATTATTTGCACCTTTGTCTTAATGTGACTAGAGGCTTGGTGGCTAAGTTCTGTAATGGGTCAGACAGTTGACAGTTTGGCAGCCGTGACAAAATGAGAACACCCTGACTTTTCTGAACATTTTATAGCAAAATAACTGTCAAGATGCTGACTCGATCAAACCAGCTACAGTGTACATAACACTGGTATTTTATTTGGGCTCAGTAGGTCTTTATTTTTTTATAAGGAGTCAGATAACGTGGCCTAAGCCAGTTGATAGGGCAGAAGCAGTAATGTCCGTGGTTAAATCTGGTCAGTTGTGCTGTGGTCAGAGCATGCAAGTGTTGGCCGGCACAAAAGAAATTTTAGAACTCACAGATACTTGATAAACTAAGGGAGTGACTTTATTGATAAGTTATTGTGTGGGAAAACTGCCCATGCTATCAATAGTAACTTAAAATCAATTAAAAGAATGGAGTAACTGTGGGGTATTCCTTATCCAATAAGACCGATTTAGCAAGGAACTGGTGGTAGAAGTCAGAACTATGTATTGCCTACAAGCTGGCGGGGGGCTTGGGAGCTATATCCAGTCATACAGCAAGG